CTCAAGCCTGGCCCAGGCAATTTAGGGACTTAATGAGACCCTTTCTCAGAGTAAAGAATTTAAAAAAAGGGCTGGGGGTTGGGGATTTAGCTCAGTGGTTGGGGATTTAGCTCAGTGGCAAAAGCGCCTGCCTGGCAAGCGCAAGGTCGTGAGTTCGGTTCCCGGTACCGGAGAAAAACCAAAAAAAAATAAAAAAATAAAAATAAAGTGAATGGCTAGAAAGTATACCTAAATAAAATTAGTATTTATAAGGTAATTAATATTCAACAATGGACAGCTAGTTTTAGATCCATGAAAATAGTTTTGTCTTAATTTTATATAGTAACTAGTTGAGTTAAATAGTGTAAAATATATTCTTATAAATAGAATCACACAGCTTTGGAAACTTGCTATTTAAGGTAAAACTGCTGCTAATTCTGGAATTAATCTTCCCTTTATTCAGTTGTGTATAGATTTTCATATTGGGTTAGTTATCACTTAAAGAACGCTTCCTTTGATGTGAAATTTCCACTATTTTCTTTTTTTTTTCCCCCAAAGTATTCTTTATTCAGAAACTTCACAAATGCCTCTCTTTTTTGTCAAATGGTTCTGTACCATATTAATGCTTATTTAGGAACCGGAAAGCTAGCTCATACAAGCATTCTGCACCAGATTACTCCCTCAAGGAGGTGTTCAAGAAGTGTTTTATGTTGTGAAGTCTGAGGCTACGGGAAGTGGAGCTCTGGCAATCTGGGCCATCAGCATCCACACCACTGGTTGGTGCCGCTCCTCCGGCTTACAGTGCAGTTACTAGGTACCATGTTTCATTCTGCAAAATTTTGTGTACATCCTCTCCGATTCTATATCTGACCAGATTCTTGGATTTGCTTCTTAGCGCTGCTCTGTTGATGCACAGGGCTTTAGTTTACAGGCCTGATAATCCCAGCATCTTCCATAGGCTTTCAGTTCCACATCTTTGATTAAATTATTTGTATGTTATAAATTGAATTGCTTTCAAGTGTCCTCAGTCAACTCTGGTTGTGATGTATTTGTCTCTGATGCAGTCTTCAAAGTTATTTGTTTTTCCTGTCCTTTGATTCTCCTTCAGGATATACTTCTATCCACATCAAAATTAAGGTACTCACAGAAGTTTCACACAGAAGTTGGTTAAAGTTTTCCCTGCTCTTTTTGGTATGTCAATATGTTAACTAAGTTCTTTCTCTTTTCTTTTCAGCAAAGATCCAGATTTATCAGTGATGGATATTTTTTTTAGTCCTTTGACTATCAAATCTGAGTATTCAGAAAAGTTAGATTTTTTTTAATTCCCTTTGATCAGCTGGGACAGATTAGAGGTTTGTTTGTTTGTTTTTTTAATCTCACTAGCCCAGGAGAAAACCACCTGTTTGAGAATGATGAAAAGTTTCTACCCCAAATCCACCTGCAAGGAAATCCTGTGAAAATGACTATAAACACCCCTGATCTGGCTGCTCCTCTCCCCTGGAGGCTAAGTGTGACACCTTCCACGCCTTCCCCAGGAAGGCCCAGGCCTGACTCCATGTAGGGTGGAGATGACTTTGGTTCAGGCCCATGAAGACTCTCATGCTCACCAGTTTCTTGGGGACCTTCTAAATGGTAGTGTTCCTAGGTTGGATCCAGAAGCTACTTACAGTCAATAAAGTAAGTATGATGTTCCTAACCCACCTGGTCACCTAAACCACCCTTGCGTTGGGCTCCACTGAGGGTTTTTATAGCCTGGAGGAAATACTTGGTTTAGAAAGATGTGATTCAAAAAAAATATATATATATATGAAAAGTAAAAGAAATCCAGGTACTGATGGGAAGTTAAACTTGCCTCCTGTGGACAAAGTCATCTTGAAGATGAAAAAAGCTCTGGGTTGTGGTGACAGTTGCATAACAATATATATATACTTAATGACATGAACTGTACAATCTGAAATGGTTAAAGCGGTCAACTTTGTTATAAACAATTTGCCGCAGTAAAGAGTCAGTCTTGCACTACTATTCATACCCGCCTCCACCCCAGTGTGAATACATTTGGCCAAAATTGAAGAAACTTATTCTAAAAGCAGAAAAAGACAAGGCATTTTTTTCATTTTTGCTAAAGCTCTCTCATCATTTAAAACATATAAAGGTAGAACGTCATTTTTTTTTTTTTTTCCTCTCCGGTACCGGGAACCGAACTCACGACCTTGCGCTTGCCAGGCAGGCGCTTTTGCCGCTGAGCTAAATCCCCAGCCCCGGTAGAACGTCATTTAAATGTTAGCATCACACAGTAATTCCCCTCAGTTTTCTTGGTGGCACTTAAAAGTGGTGTATATTTATATGCAGCCCCTCCTGGCTAGTTTATTACATTCCTTAGACAACTAAATAAAAACAGAGAAACAACAGAAGAATGTAATACCACTCTCTAAATATGTTCTGTATGGATACTTTTCCGAAACAGCAACTATTCAAGTTTCTTCCTACTTTTTATTTTCACTAAGTTGAAATATGCTTTTTCAAATTTGCACTATTCTTGCCCTATCCTACCTTCTCCCTCTTAAACACACTCAGGATGAGTATACTGGGGTGAGTGATGTCATAGGGTTATAGCTACCAATCCTGTGGACACTGTTCTTTTCAGCGCTGGAAAGATGTAGACATCCTTATCTTGGGTAAAGAGATCCAAGGCGAGTGGTAATATGTGAATGCCAGGTAGGTACACTTGATTGGTGTCAAGTGTGTGGAGCGGCAGTTCTATAAACAGCAATCACAGCAGCCTGCAGCAAGCTTTCCGGACGTCTACTTGTCAATAAAAAAGTCAAGTTCATGTTTTCTTGGTCACAGGAATATAGCAAGGGGATCATTCGTGACAGGGCCAGTTACATCATAGGGTTATGCAAACCACGGGCCGTCCAAACAGGAAGGGGCTGGCTGTGCAGGTCGAGTCAGAATTCTTGTTTTGCATGGTTGTCAAGGGAACACAAAGTCCCTCCATCTGAGCTCATTAATTTTCAACCAAAAATCAAATCACTGGATACCTTGCCCGTGTAGCACATAATTGATCATCTCCATCACAAAAGAAAGTGAATGTTAATGTCATATACCACAACATTTAACATAAGTTTTTTAAAAAAATTTATTGAATACGAACATGTGGAAGAATGTTAGCACCAAACACCCTGTTAAGCAAATCACTTACTTGTTAGAGAGGATGTGTGACTTTGAAGTGGTATGGCATTAGCAAAATTTAAAAAAATTGTTTTGTACTTATTGAAACTCAAAACAGATGAGCAAAGTGCTTCCAAAATAAAGATTAGCAAGGTGAAGTAGAAAAGAACTTCCAAAATAAAGAGGACCAAAAATTACCCTGAGAATATGTGCAGCACTGCCACAGACTCGGTGGCCTACACGCTGACCTGCGACCCTCACGTACAGTCCTGCGGGTTCCAAGTCAGACCTGCGTCTCACTGGGCGGACGTCCAGGTGCTGGATGGGCTGGGCTTCTTCCGCCCCAGCCTCTTCCAGCTTCTCGGGGTCCCAGCACTCCCTCCAGCTTCAAAGCCAGCAACGGTGCCTCTCTCTCCCCGACTCTTGACACTCTTCCTCGTTCCTCTTTCACTTTTGATTCCAATAGGCCCAGCTGCAGAATCCAGAACAATCTCTCCTCAAGGTCAGCAGATTAGTACCTTAGTTTCCGCTGCCACCTTCAGACTCCTTTCCCGTTTAACCCAATGCATTCACAGGTTCTGGGATTAGGGTACAGCAACCTCTGTGTCTGGCGTCATTATTTAGCCTGCCATCATGAGAGTCTTCTCATTAAATACACACGTAAATATACACGAAATACACCACAAAATTAATATTTTTGTGACAGTTCAATAATTGTCATTCAGTTGTTTTAATCCACAGAATTTATCTTTTTGTCTAAACAAAACTCATTAAAATGGCCAAATACAAGTGACAAAAAAGTTGAGGGATACAACAAACTGTACAGTATTACAAAGTAGTGGTTATCATTTTATCTGTATATATAAGTGTATAGGCATATATACATATACACAGAATTTGAACGTTAATCAAGTGGTTCTAGAAAATGAACACACAACAGAGATTCCCAGAAAGGTAATGCTTATAAAATATGGCCATGCTTATGGGGATCCAAAATCAGCCCAAGATGAGATTCCTAATAAAGACTGCACAGGTCAGAGACAAAGAGATTCTTTCTTTCCAGGTTGGCCATTCTCCCCTTCTTATTTTCTCCTCACTTTCGGCCTTCCATTGTCCATACTGAACTTCCATGTGTAGTGAAGGCCCGCTGCTGTCACGTGACCAGACCCGGCCTGAACAAGATCAAGTTACCAACCCCAGTGATACCAGTGCAGCTGCTTTTGAGGAAACCATCAAGCAAGGAAGGAAAATCAGTCACGCATTCGTCATCTAGTGTACCTGTAATTCCAGAGCAAAGGTCCTAATTCCTTCCAGGGCTGACATGCTAGCTTTGGCTTTTCAAAAATACTGTGTTTACGTATGACCACTGTCATCAGCAAGAGCCTGTGCCTGGTCCACGGCAGATTTAAAAGACAGGAATGTGGTAGTGACGATCATTTTCAGTCAGCAGAGAGATCTCTGGCCACTCCCTGAGAGGCTCCTGTGGATAGCACACTGCGAAGTCTCTGGAGTTGAACTTGAACAGCCGGAACACTTTTATCTTCACTTCAAGGGAGTATCCCAGTATAAACATGTCAATCTGGTGACAAGATGAAAGAAAGGTCACAAATACGCATTTTTGAATTCCTGCCTCCCACCTCGGTGGGGGAGTGCTCTTCTGCTGCTCATGAAACAATCTCCTTGTTTACAGACCCACCCATAAACCACTGAGTGGGCACATGCTTAGGAACAAATGTCCATTGTGTGTAAGGAAGAGGCCAAGCATAGGAACATCTCTAGACAAGCCCAAAGAAATCTGAGGAAAAAGCTGTTCAGAACAAATTAATTTAAAAAGAATGCTCACAATGAAAAGCTACAGTGTTTTCCAACCAGTTTGATCCCATTTCAAATCAATTTGTGTAAGAGTGTCAGATAATTATGCTCATTTTCTATGCAAGCAAAACAAAAGAGGCCCTTATCCATGGGGAAAATATTAAAAATTTTAATGGGGATGATTTTTTCTGGACCTAACATTTTTAATAATTTCTATTTACCTGTGATACATAACCAAAGACTTTCCTGAAGTTATCTCATTTTCCACTTGGCCTTTCTCCTGGTTACTCCTCTGTGGGAGAACCACTGCCAAAGCAAGCACCTCTGGGCAGTTGATTCACTACTGCTGAAGGCACACCCCAAAGGCCTATGTGTTTGAGTACTGTCTGTGCCATCCTTTAGTCAAACACACGCATTTCCTCTTCCTCGCTTACCTGCTCTAATCCACACGTGTCGCCCACAGAATTAAGGTGATTCATCATGAAGCTCAAAGGGTCTGATGATGTCTCTCTGGAAAACAGGAGTCTGAAAAGACTTGGAATGATCTTGTTAGTCTTCATTTGTTCATAAACTTCAGTGACTTGATACAGCATGATGAACTTCAAAGCTTCATAAAGCTTATATTCCAGAATGGCATCGGAAAAAAGGATGTTGCACATGCTTCCTCTCTTGTGATAGTCCTTAATTCCACTAAATTCAGTCCACTAAAAAATGCAGATGTGAGGCGAGGTGAATACACACATCATTGCATAACTTCACAGCACTGATAACACACGGCAAAGGTTAACAGAGGGGAATACAAGGTGTGATCAAAAAATAGTGTGTATTTAAATGAAAGAATGCTCAACAGTAAAAGACACATTGCCACTAATCCCCCTCAAATAGTCCCCGCTCCCACTGGACACACTTATCTCACTGTTCTCAATGCTTTCTGAGGCAGCTTTGGAAGTCCTCTTTCATGTCTTTAGTTACGCTGTTGTGGCTGCCCTGAAGTCCTGAATCCATTCAAAATGTTTCCCTTTCACGGTCACTTTGACTTTGGGGAAGAGCCAGAAGTCACACAGTGTCAAACACAGTGGATGAGGACACATGAGAAGATTAGGATTGCCTTTCCGCTGGGCGCCACTTGGCAGCCGTGTATACCGTACTTGTAATCACACTTTGTAAAGACACTTACAAAAGGACTCCAGAAGTACTTAGCAAGTGGCAAGCAGAATGGAGCAAGTACGTGCAAAGGAGGGAGAGTATTTAAGGGAAATTAATGGCAACATGTCATTTGCTGAAATAAAATTTTTAAAAAATTAAGTATTCATATTTTTGATCACCCCTTATAAAACTTTTTAACTGCATTTTATATCTTTTTACACTGACTTTTTATTTTTTTAAAGTTTTTTTTAAAGAGAAAAAATAAAACTAACAAAACAGAGTTTCAAAACAGGTTAGTAGAAAAGTTACAATAGTTAATACTATTGCGTATTACTGTCTTCATAGTAGTTATTCAGGATAAAGACACAGACGTGGTATCTTGTCCAAACAATATTAGCACAAACCTTTCTTTTCAACGAACTAAGAGAAATTGACTGTGTAACTACCTTAATTATCTTGTGTATAAATATATATTTTCTTTTTCCCTTTCTTCCTCTCCCCTTTCCCCCATCATAGTTTGTCTTTCCTTTTGAACAGTTTCTTCCCAATACATAGTATCTGTTGCATATTTTGGATCTCGTTCAGTTTCTCACACTAGTGAGACAATTCAATACTTTTTAAAGAACATATTTCAATAAACCAACAGAAATTAACAGTACAATTATCTTAGTTATCTTGTGTATATATAGATATATTCTTTTCCTTATTGAAAGGAAGAGTTAATGCTTAATTTTTTTTCTGATCAGTTTTGCATGCCTATATCTGATAATCTGAACTACTACATTGAAGATAACAATATGCAATATAACAACCAGTTAATTTCCCATCATCTTGTTTGAAATTGTGTATTTTTATTATTTTTTATTTATTATTCTCTTAAAAAAAAAGAAAAACCACTATACTGTGATAGACTGAATATGTTTCCCCCCAAAAGCCATATGGCGAGTGCTTAATTCCAGGGTAGTGGTGCAGGGGGTAAGGCCTTTCCTGGTGACTAGCTCCTGTGGGCGGAGCCCTCAGGGATGGGACTGGTGCCCTCATAAGAGGAGGCCAGAGAGCTGACTCGTTGTCCTCTTGCCATGGGAGAACACGGCACGAAGATAACCGAGGGGAGGCCCTCACCAAACCCCACCCTGGTGGCTCCCTCATTTCAGGCTTCCACCTCCAGTTTCTAGTATTTTGTTATAGCAGCCACTCCCACTTTTACAATAACGAGATAGTTTAAATAAAATATTTTTCCAAAAACGCATCACCCAGTAGGTAAAGTACCAAGCACATCAGTTCTCTAAAACTGTAACTTAGAATAGTTGGGCTTCCCAAAAGATATTCCAGGGGAGAACACAGCCAGGATTCTTCAGCACTCACTGCACACCAGGCAAGTTCAGAGTACCCTCCGTGTATGAGGTCATGGAGTCCTCTTGGTAACAATACAGGGTATATGCTACTCAGAGTTCTCTTTCACAGACATGAAAACTATGGCTCAGAAAGGTTAAGGGGTTTCTCAAGGGAACTGGGCTCATTCCCCTCATCCAGAATCCATGTCATTTGTTAACAGCGGGAAGAACTCCAGTCCACCGATTACATGTGCGCCACCCCACGTTATGAACCGGGTGCACTGCAGAGAGCATTCCAGAGCCCCTCGTCTGGAACCTGCACATTTTCCCAAGGAAACACAGGTGCATGATAGTCACAGGTGTAATTATAGCTTAGAACAACGCTGCTCTTCATTATTTGAAGAAGAAAAAAGAAGTAATCAACTAGCGGAAGGAGCATTTCTGCTTGCATTTCTTACTTTCCTCCCCAGAAGTGACACGCCTGATACCAGAGAAGGCCAGCCACATTTGAGCCATGTGTTCATATGCCTACTCTTTTGGTTACCGTTCCCCACCTAAATGCTCACCTGCATTTTCAACAGTTCTACACATTTACGTAATTTTCCAAACACGTTGGAACCTGTATACTTCTCAGGACCAAAACTGTATTGCTGGATCCAGTTACAACCTTGTGAAAACAACAGTTTTTCAGGAAGCTTAAAAAGAAAGTCAATGCCAACAAGGATTAGTATCTCAACATCCGTTACACACAATTTGGAATATGTTGTAGTACACACTCTTATCTCCTCTAGCAACCTTCATTTACCTGACAATAACAAGTAAGGTGAGATAAAAGGCATACATTCATCTTTTCCTTAGATTTGTGGATTACAATCTAAAGATCCTATTTCGACCTTACTTCACATGAGATAAGAATCTAAATATAGGATCATGCCCATGGAAACAATCTTTTTGAATAAGATACCTCTAGTATAGCTCATCAGACACTACTTTTAACCAAACGATGGCAGAGCACAGTGCAGCAGGGAACAGGAGGATTATATAACAAAGCCCACCCTGGTTCCAACCCAGCTGTCACTCATCAGCTGAGAGGGGATTTAGCCAGCAAGGATTATTTTCACCTCTTAGCTTTATCTTCCACTGAAATTAAAGATAATACTGTCCATTTTGCAGGGCTCTTGTTGGAGTTGAACGACATTATGTTGTACGTGAGAGTCTGATCCACTACAGTATCCAAAACATTTTCCCACGCAACTCCGCTTGTTAAGTCCAGGGCCTCTTACATGGTCTTTGCCCTCAGCAACAACCAACAGAGCTAGCACACTGCATATACTTGACAAGTATTTGCTAGGTAAGATAGAATTCATAAACACAAGTTTAAATAAAAGGCACCAAAGAAATACAATTTGTGAATCTATATATTTCTTTGCCCCTCTACCCCAGATTAGGCATACTGCACTCCAAATTTAAATTAAGATTATTTAAGAATACACTGCTATACACTGTCAAGAAAATGGTAAAGCACGTCACAGACTAGGAGTAAATACGTGCCTATCTGACAAAGTGTTTCTACTCAGAACTCTCAAAAGTCAACAGTAAGAAAATTAAACAACCCAATAAAAAGTGGGCCAAAGGTTCAGATAGACACTTTTCCAAGAAGGTAATATGGATAGAGAATAATAAGCACATGAAAAAATGCTCCACATCACTACTCATGAGGAATAAAAACTAAAAGCATAATGATACCAGTGCATACAGATCAGAATTGTTAAAAATAAGAAATGTGACAACACCAAGTGCTGGTGAGAATGTGGAGTAACCAGGGTCACTGATCCACTTCGGAAAGTTTGGCCGTTTCTTGTAAAGTACACACCTCTCATGCTGTCAGGCAATGTAACTCTTAGGTACTTACCAGAAAGAAATATAAGCTAATGTTCATAAGAATATTTAAAACAGCTTTATTCACAGTTGCTAAACACTGGAAACAACCCAGGTGTCCTTTGATAAACTGTGTTACATTCCTATAAAAGAACATCACTCTTGAATGAAAAGGGATAAACTACAAATGCACAGAACAACGTGAATGAACTGCACATGCATTTTGCTAAAGCAAAAAGGACAGATTCAAAACCGCATACTGGATGAGACTAGACTAGACTAGATGACAGCACTTATACGACATTCTGGAGAGAGTGAAATTATAGGGACAGAAACAAATTCAGGGTTGCCAGAGGCTAGAGGCCAGACAGCAACTGACTAGCAGGATATACAAGAGAAGCTCTGGGGTGGTGGTTACATACTGTATGAATTTGCTAAAAAGCTCCTGACTTCAGAGTAAAACAGTGAATTTTACTAGACCACCTTATTTACAAAGAGCAGATGACAAAAAAAGATGGGGCATTGAAAAACAAACAAACCCGAGTATGACGTCTTTCTGAGGTGGATTTGCAAGCTGGCCTAAGAGACACAGGGCTGAGTTAAATGACCTCCCAAAGTTCCCCCAATCTCCCCAGAGAACCGCGGGAGCTTTCGAGCTGCAGTCCCCGTGCACAAGCCATGTCCTGTGTGTCCAGGGAGAACGCATACCTTAACAATGTCCTTTTCCTTCATCCAGGACGGGAAAGAAAGGCCCTGGCTGAATATCTGAAACAACACCGATCTCAGAGCATCGTAATTATCTCTCTTCACTTGTCGAACACATTTAATATGGTGTCGCCAGAACAGCTCTTCATAAGCCTATTAGCACAAAAAGAGAAAGTTTTAATTAAATCCACCGGACAAGAGAATAAGAAAACAAATTCAAAGAACACACTGAAAAAGTGTTTTCAGTGAGGCGTCCCTCCCATCAGAAATGATAAATTAGCACTATAACTGTGTATAATTTTAAAGTGACTCCCACATGTAAGATCGGCATCATCCTGTTTTAGATGACAAGTCCTGGAAGAACACGGCAGGTCATTTTGGTTGATAATGGACATAACACAATCACAATGAAAAGTCCTATCTATTTTTAAGGTCATGCTAAACAGTTCTTGAAATGCACTCTTTCTCCCTCTTTTTTGTTTTTGCTAGTGACAAGATGGGGCAGCACTTTTGGAAGTATTTACCAAAATCAGTCCAGTGGAAAATTCTAAAGCTCCTCAAAATATTTACGTGAGGGTGCTTGACCCTTCCAGGAAGAGGTTCCCCCGCACGTGCAGATGTTTCACGGGCCTGGTGCGGGGAGCTGAAAACACAACGCTCGGGCTTACAGACCTAACTCAGGTACTGATTCCTCAAAGGCCCAGGCTCTAGAGCAAAGGCCAGGCCAACCTCCAGCAGCCGCTGGCTTCTGAGCCACAGTGTTCCCCGCACCCTTTGGTACCGCTGATCTCTAGACTTACTAAAGCGGAGTGGAAAGTTTCCTGATTTTGACAGACAAAGTCTCTATCTTTCCATGACTTCTATAAACAGACACACCTTCCTCATCAGCTTGGCATGGGGTGTTTCTCCTTTCCATTCTCTTGCGCAATAACTGAGCAAATGAACTTCTGCCTCCACGCTGAGGTTCCCTAGACCAAATCAAAAATAAAAGGCAGTTCATTTTCCCATCCCCATCCCTCTTGACCCTTCTTTCTCCCCTAAAAACAAGGAAATATACATAAAATGTTTACTTTTGAATTTCCTCTGCAGATATCCAATCCACCTGAAAAGTAAAGGAAACAACACTATCAAAAGTCTGCACGGAAGAGCAAGCGTATTTGTGAAATTTGACGGGGATGCAGTGACGTACCATTTCAGCCGGTGTCCTAAATACAAATGCAGCCTCCTGAAGTAGCACAGGGTAGCTACCAGCAGCGACACGGCCAGCATCACAGAGCCCCTGGCTATGCGCCAGGCAGTATCTAGGGCCTGGCTTGGAACTAGTGTCCAGGAGTGAACTTGGTCACTTCCTATCAAAAACAAACAGAAAACCAAAATGCCTATAGCAATTAAATAAGTCTCCTGTAAGAAAAAAAATATACCTTGAATCATTTTGCTTATCGAGTATCGATCATTGATTTAAATATTTTAAAGTATGCAAAACTTCAGTCCAAAAATTAAAGCAACGTCTAGTTCTTCCCATACTCAGTGTCCTATAAGGACATCTTTGTAGCACAAAATCAAAGAGGGGTAAGGAACAAAAACAGTAAGGACTTCAGAATCCAGACTTTACTACTTCTTTCCTAGCTGTGTGGCTGTGGTGACGTGACTCCTCTTACCCTGTATTTTCTGGACAGTAAAACGAGGGTGAAAGCACTGACCCTGCTGGGGGAAGGCTGACACGCTGGGCAGCAGCACACAGCCGGGCTCACACGTGGTTCCTGCTGGGCACCTGCTGAATGCACGCAGTCACAGGGACTCGATTCGGCCTAGCTACGCTGCTGGCGATGAGGCCAGCGGCCTCTAGCCACCCACTTCCGCTGTACTTTTGGATCATGACTGGTCACAGTATATGGCATCATTTCAGTTACACAGAACGAGTGACCCAAAACAGCAGGAACACAGATGTCACTACCAGAAAGTAAGCCACCAAAAAGGGAAGTCAGGAGATAGATCCAGACACGCTGCTTCTGATATACACCAATTCCTGATCTCACAAGGGATAAACTAATAAACAGACCTAAGAATTCACATAGGGCACTTGCAAAATTTTGCTGTGTTCGGTAGATTCCTAATTATATTCCATGTGAACATGCAAAATGCTGAAGTGCAAATGAGGAAGAGGGCTTCTGAGAAATGGCCAAACCTCCTGGGGTGTGTTGCGAAATAATTTCCCCCGCAGCATACAGTTTAGTAAAATTCCAGTGACCAAACACAGTAAAAGCCTTGTCGACATGGACTCTGCAATCCCAGCATTTTTATGATCGGGCTATTTGATGTACACAGGCACTCTCAATAAAAAAGTAACTTACCAACAAATACACAAAAAAGTATTACCAGCAAATTAAGAAAACATATTCCCAGTTACTTGAAAGGACAATTCAAACAAATGCTTATCTATTTAGAATAGTTAATTAGCTATTCAAATCATATTTACTACTACCTTGAAATTTAGTAAACCTTTTTATATTTAAAAATATAAAACTCTCCTGCTTTTACAGGTATGATTTATATTTTTATTAATTTAGATGGCTTTCACAACTTTGAAACTTCTGAAACAGGCAAATACTTTTCGCATATTCTGCAATTCATGCAAGAATTAAAATTGCATCTGTGTGATACATAATTTCATTTATTGTAGCTTTAAGATTTTCTAGAGAAATGGAACATTATAGGCGGATATGGTGGCATATGTTTGTAATCCCAGCACTCTGGGAGGCTGAGGCAGAAGAGTCACAAGTTTAAGCCAGCCAGAGTAATTAATGACTCAGCAGAACCTGCTACTAAAACAAACAGCTGCACATGAAGCTCAGTATGAAGGCTCTAGGTTTAATTCCCTATAGTACACAAAAGGAAAAGAAAGATGGAACATTATGCATCATTGTATACTTTTTTTATCTGGTTCAGGCTAGGAAGGCCAGGGAACATAACCATGCGAGCTGAGTGAGCACCAGGGAGCCAGCTGTCCGTGGGTGGGAGAGGGCTGTGGGGTGCATGCAGGAAGAGCGCGACTTCTCCAACAACTGAAATAGTTACAATCTGAGCTGCCTGCCTGGCTGCCCCTGGGCTAAGCATTCTGGAGGGATCTTCTCATTTCCTCTTCTGAGCCACACTATGCAGCGACAGTAAAGGTGGCCCAGAGTCTGACAGTGAGCCCTGCTGGTCCTCCACACAGCAGCATGGGGTTGGGGACAAACGGCTTCACTTGGCTCAGCTTCGGTCTGCAGACCTGGGGATGACATCAACACACGCGGAGCTGGGACACAGCGAGCGCTCAGTGCACGCCTGCTTTTGTCATCGTGGCATGTCACCACACAGGAGGCACAGCAGTACCCACCTCTCGGAGCCACTGTGGGCCTCATGGAAATACTAGGAAAGTGCTTAGCCCCATGTGCTCGCTCCAAAGGTACCCAGTAAATGCTAGTAAGCCACTGTATTCTTACTACTGCCATCACCTTTATTTTGCAGATGAGAAAAATGTCAAGGGGATAAAAAAGGTTAAATAATTGCGTATGGGATTGAGCCAGTAAGTGGCACAGCTAGAATTCAAAGAGGATGGATGGAACACTAGAAGCTGCCTGTCTTACCCCTTGGCTGTGCTATCTCTGAATTACGGAGTTGAGTAAATCTTCAGACCAGTGCTGCTACTGCAAAGAGAATTAACACTCTTTTAAAAGAGAAATTTGAATTCTCCTGCTAGGGCCAATAACTAAAAAAAGAGAAGAAGCCTCACACAACAGTCTCATGATGACAGTTTTGATGATCTCCCGAGTGAAATCCCATTTCTCCAAACGCAGCAGAAAGAGGGTAATGCTTTGGACATCAGAAGGTTCTGAGGGTCCCCCCCAGTTCCTGCCAGGGAGAATTCTGTAGCTGCCAGCCGAACTTCCTGTCCTTTCCCCAGGAGAAGTGGGCACCGCCTGACAGGCCCCTGGTGCTTGGTGACCGGGACTTGGTGAAGAAGAAAGAGCGGGAGGGTTCATCTCCACAGGCTCAGTCATGCCACGTAAGGAAAAGAACCAAAAGGAGCGTTCATGGGGGCAAGTTTGGCGAAAAACAGTCTTTAGGAAGCCAACTTGCAAGAAGAAGCAGGAAAGAGAGGTGCTGCCCGGAACTGTGCATTTTGTGCCTGTGAAGAGACACAAAAAGTGAGGTTTCCTTTTTATCCTTTTGGGCTGGACACTTGGGAGGAGGCTGACACGAGCATACAGGGCAATGCATTTCTGTCATACCAGGAAACAGATTAACAAATCTCACACATCCCCTCAACCTCCAGGATCAACGTGAGCTGACCCTGACCCACACATCAGAAGAAACGGGGCTTTGGTAGTTAAGACATTCTTGGGGAATGACTCTGGGCCTCCTAAAATCAACCTGTGAATATCTGTAACTAAAATCTGATCTGTGATCACTCTAACTATACAGAGGAGACACCTCTGACTACAACTACAAAAAGGCACTGTTTTCTGTGGTAAAACTCTAATTCATTTTTTTTCCATTCTCTACAACATATCAAAGCTGAAGTATTTCAAACACTAAAACAGGAACCAAAAGCAAAAGAAAAAAAAACCCTAAAAACAAAACTAAAGACACTGAACAGCCGGAAACCGAACGATCATGTATTCAGATCTGCCCTACACCCTGGGGCTCCCAGTGGCTGGAACCTGTTTCTCACAGGGAAACTCAGTAGCATCTGCTGTTCCTCCAGATCTTCCAATGCTGCTCCGGGTTTAGGACGGATTCCCCTTATTTTTTATTTTTCCATGGACTGCCACAGTCTTTAACCTCATCCACTTCCTCTGCAGTTATTCACGGCACAGCACCACAACCATTTGTGTTGGTCAGCTTCTTACTACTGTAACCAAATACCTGAGGCAGCGATTTGGAGAGGACATACTTCTTTGGGCTCACAGTTCCAGAAGTTTCAGTCCATGGTTGGCCAGCTTCACTGCTTTTAGGCCTGTGGCAAGGCAGGAATATCATGGCAGCCAGGAAGCAGAAAAGGAAGAAAAGATCTGGAGAGGAAGGCCCACCCCCAGTGACCCACTTCCTCCAAATAGGCACCATCTCCGCCTCCTATCAGCCCATTCAGCTGTGAACTCATCAACTGATCAATCTATCTGATGAGGTCAGCACTATCGTGATCCAATCACCTTTCCAGGCCCCACTTCTAAACATTACTGCATTGGAGATCAAGCCCTTAATACATGAGTGTGGTGGATTATGGTCAACTTGTAACACCCAGCTGAGCTGAATCAGCACGGTGCTGGGTGTGGAAGGCCCACCTGAGGACTGTGGCCAACAGCATAAATGGAGAACTGGAAGGGAAGATGGCATGTTGCTGATTCTCCTAGAGAAGCTTGTCATGCTGGTTTTCCAGTGTGATGTAGACTCAGCTGTTCTCATCGTCAGAGGAGCATAGATCCTCACTGTTACTGAGGTCGGCTGTGGTTTTCTTTGGGGGAGCTCTAGTCCTTATCTTGAGCATCACTTCCGGGCTCCACTGCAGATCTCTCAACCTGCTGACACTGATACTTCACCCCACGGGCACAGACTTTTTAACTTCCACTACTCACCTTTGGGTCTTCCCAGTGCAGATCCTCGATACAGACTTGCATGGGACATTGTCGTGGGTTCTAGGCCTCCAACTGGACTTGTGGAAGACATTACCAAGGATCCAGGCCCTCAGCTGGATTGTGTGGGTCTCTAGTGTGTGGACAGATCTCCCACACTCTTCTGCATTTGACTCTTTGGGTGAATATTATAAAATAATCCTATAAATTATGTGTCCTGTATTAAACCTATTTCCTTGACATCTGAACTATAACAATGAGGCTGTGAGAACACTTCATATTTAAACCACGATACCATGGCACTTTCTCCACCCACATCAACAAAATCAACTGCATTCAGCCCAATGACTGTTTCTTACGCAAGCAGAGGTGGCGTATCAAAGACTACTGAGTGGGCCGGGGAAGGCAACATCAAATCTGAGCTAGTGTGGAAAAGATGATTTAATTTAAAATGGTGCGGTAGCAGAGGGAGGAAAGAAACACACAGTAAAAATCTCTTTGTCAGGCACAACAGCACATGTCTACAACCCTGACGCAGGACGCTGGGGCAGAAGAATTGCAAGTTTGGGGCCAGTCTGGGCAACTTAGTGAAATCCTGTTTCAAAATAAATAAAATGGATTGCAGATGTAGCTCAATGGTGGAGCATCCCTAGGTTCAACCCCAAGTACTAAACAGTATCCCTTTGTTTAAAAAATTTCATGTAAAAAAGTGTTTAATAAACCACAGATATTTCTGT